ATTTCACACTATTCTCTTTGTTGACTGTGACAGTGTGAGAAAGTGATCTTTATTCGTTCAAAAAACTCTGCATGTAGTCTATGTTTAGGTTCTTTTAATGTGTTTGTCTGTGATTTTTAAATGCTAAACATGTAAACAGATAAATTGTCAATGTTAATTCTGTACCCTGTCACACAACTGATCTTTCTTTCCTGCCATTTCTTTCCTTTTTATCTTTTTTTTTTTTTTTTTTTTTGGTGCATTCATGTTGCAGTTGATAAAATTACGTGAAGAGGTGAGTACTTCCTAGCTTGCTTTTTTTTTTAAATTCTGCTTTTCCCTATAAAATTGAGTTTCTAAATCTGAAGTGAGATCTTTGGGTTTATTTTTCCAGGACAATCTACACACAGCAAAAGTATTGACTATATCGCTAGAAATATTCTCTGCTGGTTATCTTTTGAAAACAAATCTACCCAAATCATGCTTGTCACATTATCATTGTTGTTTGTTAGTATCAGGGGGAACATTCATATTTTAAAAGCCCCAAAATGGAGGAAAAACAAAGGACTATCCTCAAGCTGTGCCCAAGCATAGCTTTAGTGTAGACTAACTTCAGACTTGTTTTATTTGTATTGGTTTCACAAAGAGGTCAATATGATTAATTTTTTTTCTGACAGATTTATTTTACTGAAAACTGTTTTTAAATAAACTACTTTCACTCACCCAGAATGCAACCTAAGATACCATGAATCTGTTATCCTTTTGGGGAAAAACACATATGTTATAAATGCCCTGCTAGTCTGTGTACACGGATACCTAAGAATAGCCAAAGTTCTCGTCATTGTTAAACACTTTCCTTTCTGTAGGAAATAGCACCCAAGTGAGTTCTCACTTTTCTGAGTTTGCTAGCCTGTTTCATAAAGCAACCTCAGACTTTTTTGTGGCCCAGCAAATATTTATAGCAATGTTTGTCATTCTGTCTGCATATCAATGAGGAATGCTGAATGATTCTGGTTTTTGTTTTTAATTAGGCCACTCATCAAATATGCTTTGGTGCTCTTTTCAGAGATAGAGCAGTTTTATTCTTTACTTAGTGAGGTAGAGTTTTGTTACTTTTATATTAGGGCATAAAATAATGGCCCATATTACAACTTAAAGATTGTCCAATTGCTTACAATAATCAGAGTACTGTGAATTATTTCTGAGTTTAGATGGACTACATTGATTAATATTTTCCTAGAAGTTTTTTTATTGGTATGTCATCATTCTCTAAGTGATGTGAATGCTGGTATAGAGCCTTGTACATAGTGGTTTCCAACAGTTCTTGTGATTGGAGATACATGAGTGATGTCTCCTCTTAGTAAAAGTAATAACGATGTAAAAAATGAAGGGTGAAAATACACTAAAGCCGCACCCTCTCACCTTTTTGTGTGTTTTTATCTTCTCTACATGGAAGCAGATGTATACACTAAATGACTATGGACAATTTCATATAAGATTATTCCCAAAGGGGAGTGATGCCTCCACATTATTTCTTTTGCAAGATAGAATGTCTGCCTGTGTATATTTGCATATGTTCATGCTTAGGTGAAGAATCTGAATTATCAAATGTTACTGGAACTATTGGAACTAACAATAGACTTGAAAACCTCTGTATAAAGAAACTACATGAAGCTCTGGCCCCTGAATCTAGCAGTGAATATAATTAATAGAAGTGTGTGCCTTATTCCAATCAGAATTTGTGACAGAAGACTGTGTGTGTTGTTGTAAAGCTGAATTGTGTGGATTTAGCAGTCTTAATTCTGAGAGCTGCAGACATCATGTCTGCCTTTCTTTTAAAATGTTGTGGTGCCTATAACAGTGTCATCATTTATTCTTCTGGAATGCATGTTTCCAAAACTGTAACCTGTGATGGAATGGTACTTGGGAGAATTATATCACTCAACTAATGGAATAATATACTGAAATGATCTTTTAACAATTTTTGAAATGGATGTAGCATTGATATTTATAGACTAGATTTTGGTGAAGACAGTGCCTTGGTATATGGTTTGCTCAGAAGTGATTGTTTCTCAGCCAGGATTCTAATAGGGATCAAACTGAATGTACCCCACATTTCTTTCTTGTCCCTATCCTAAGAAAACAGCCCCCATCTCCTCTGAAGTAGGATGTTTTATTGTGTTTAGAAACAGAGTGTGCCCCATCCCTTCCTGTGTGATGTCCTTGTCGGGCTCAGTTCTGGAAACAGGGCATGCCTGGAGGCAGGAGGGTAGTGCACTGGGAGCCGAGCCGGTGTTGGCTGTGCCTCGCTGTCCGTTTCAGCCCTGCACCTCCACACCCCCTGCTCCCCCAGCTCCCTCTGCACATTGCACAGCTCCTCGTGCAAGTGGAGCTCTGTCTGCAGCTCCTGCACAGCTTCACTTACCTGCTTTGAAAAGGGCTGAGAAGAGGGTGAGAGAATGAGTTTGGGATGGAATGTGGGGGCAAGTTGAAAGCCTCAGCTGCTACTGTAGTGTATTTCCTTTCATTCCCAGAGACCAGGGCAGGGCACAACCAGGAGAACAATGTAAATAGCACAGCTGTTACAAGAACTTGTTTTTAGCTTGACTTAAGTGAAGAGGTTCCAAAACACAAAGTGAGGTCCTGCTGGAAAGCTACTGGTAAACCAATCGCCCTTTGTGTGGCCTTGTACTCCAAACAAACCGAACTGTCCTGAAGAGGACTTCTTTCTAGTATTTAGAGATATTCTTTTTAAAAAAAAACAAAAGTTCTTTTAGAAATTTACTCCCCATCATAGCCATACAGGGCATGATCTGATTTGGTTCCCTTTCATGGAATCCCCAAATCATTCCACATTTCAGTGCTTTGGTTCCTACATTATATACAATCATCTAATTAGACTGTCAATTTCCATTATTGATCTTGGACTTTTAAAAAATCTGCAGTAGCTAAGTGTTTTCTTTTAATTTAGGGATTTCATCCAGTATGAAAATGAGCTAAACTTTGTTTTGTTACTCTAGATGAAAATTCAGATTACTCTTGATTTCACCAATCTGATACCTTTTTAGAGAATCACCAATTTGAAATTAAGTCCTTTGTTAAGGGAGAAAACAATCTTCAGAGAAAGGAAGAGTAATCCTATTCTCCCGAACCTTCATGTAATGAGAATTAGGAGGGAGAAAGCTATTTTGACAAGCTGAGTAAAATGTTTAATTTTGTTGAAAGTAGTCGTCCAGGCCAAACACACAGCTCCCCCGTTGCTGTTCTTTTTCTCAATTACAGCGTCAGTGATTTTACGTTTCCGTGATACAAGCTCTCCTTCCCTCCTTCGCTCTTTTATTTGTTTAGTTTCGCTGGGGTTTTTTTGTTTTTGTTTTTGCAGAGGGAGGGGCACTTTTCTCTTAATTTCTCCACTGTGTGAGAGGACTCTTATTAATTATTAGAGACTGCTGTTGCAGCTTTCCTGACCTTCACATCAGGTCCTAGCTCTCTGTTCTAAATGCATTGTTTTAATGATTCTTACCCCCCCCAGCCCTTCCCCCAAAAAATTTTTTCAAGGAAAGCTTTGATGTGGCTTTAGCTGCCTCCACCGCCTGGCCGCATCTCAGATGTGTCACCTGTGCCGGGAGGGAATAAGGAAATCACGTTTTGAATGGTAATGATAACATACTAATCACTTCCTTTCTTTGAAGATGGAAGCGAGATATTCTGTCAGCATCCCTGGCTGCTAGAGCTTGGAGGCACTGGTCTAGGTGTATTAGCTTAAGTGTGCATGTCAATACAGCTTGCATCTCCAAGATCCGTGGGGGCTCATTAGAGCAAGGTAGATCGTTTCACTCGACAGCCACTCAGATAATATGTATGGCGCCTCCTTTTTTATTATTATTAGGGAGCATTTCTTCTATTTTAAATGACATCTGTCAACCACACAAAGTTGTAGGAGTTGTGGTTGCAATATTACTTTTTGACCAAATACCAAAACTGATTTGAGGGGTTAAGCTACTAACTGATACAAATACATATATGCATGTACACACACACACAAAAATATTCACATACACATATGTATATATTTCTAAGTGTCCAGACATACATGCATCTGCACGCGCACACACACACACATTTACATATACATGCACATATTCTTACCCATTCACAGCCATGATTACCTTACAAATCTGTTTGTCAACCTGAATAGATCTAGTGCAGAATCATGGTTTTAAAGAAAACCCAATCTCAATGTAGAAAAGAAAGTATAGAAGCTGAGAATTTGAGGAAGATCCTCTAATTGCCCAATTAAATATAATATAAAAGAGTGCATATAATCATTATATTAGTTCACAGTCTAAAACACTATGTGTCAAAAGTTTATCTTTAGTCTAGTGTATAAATTCACAATTGTGTACATCTGTGTGCATGGAGAAACATGGATCTCTTTTTTCTTGGTGGTTGCCCCAAGTTGTCTTAAACTAGAACTGCTATTTAGTATTCTGTTTTTGTACCATATGTTGTTCTATGTGGCATCTTGCCACACATCCAAAATAGAGGGATATTCTTTTAAAATACAGATCCTGTTTAAAAATTACTAAATGTGGAAATTAAAGGAACAAATGAGTGTTTTAAATTATTGTATTTTATACGAAATAAATATGAAATAAGGATCATAGATCTATGCAAATATCTCATATATCATCTACCTCTGCTGAAAGAGGAAAATCCAGTTAGCCCTGGTCTTAGTACATTTTTCGATGTTTTGGAGTAAGATTTATTGTAGCCACATACAACACAAGTCTGCCTTTTAGAACAAAAACTGTGGATGGCCCGTACATGATTGATTGATTGGAAATCTGTCTATTATAGTGGTTCTTATAATGGATGAGTTGCTTAAAATTATCTCTAATGGATTTTGACTGTCCCCCTCCCCCCAAAAATGTTAGGGCATACAAAAGCATTATTTTTTTTTAAGGCACAAAAAGAACATTGTAGACGGCCGTCTGATTTTCCCCCTCTTTCTTTTTCAGAGGGCACATCTGCTCGATAACACAGAGAGGCTGGAAAGGTCATCTCGGAGACTAGAGGCTGGGTACCAAATAGCAGTGGAAACCGGTAAGAATTCTGAGAGTGAGCAAATTGTCTTGCTTATGCACAGCAGTCTTCACCACACATGACATTTCAGGGTAACTTCAAAGGAGTAGCAGAGACAGCAGCCCGAGATGTGGTTTACATATTGGGGAGACAATTGGGAGCTTATTTGTGCTTATCTTTTTTCAAGTTAAAAGGCATGACATCTACTGAAAACAGTTCCTGAGGTTTAAAAGTATATATCTGAAAAGAGATGGAATACTTTGTCTAAATTCTACATTTGTCTTAATATGCAGGTACATGTTGTCAGTTTACCCACCCGCAATGATTGCTAGCACACAGAGCGGTCTCTGGTTGTTTGCTCTGTTACATTTATTCACATGTGTAACAATTAACATTTTAATCAGTCTAAATGATGTGAACTGGGGGCAAAGAGGTAACAATCCCTAGTTTACCTTGCTTGTTTTCCTGGTGTTAGAAGTGATTTCTAATAATCTTGTGGTGTTTTTATTTTTAAATCATGAACAGAGCCCATAATCAGATATGGAGGGGAAAAAGTCACAGTAAGCAGCTGCACTAATGTTCATGGTAGTACTTTTGGTTTGAATTAACCTAGTTATTCCTTTCAGAAAACACAGCCCTAATTTAACTTCTAAGATGTATCTACTTAAAATAGACAAGGTTTTTCATTACAAATGTTTCATGCAGCGACTATTTGTTTTTACATAGTAAATAAATATGTTAACCCCTTTGTAGTCATCAGTTTCTTATTACTTAGTTTTTTGTTTTTTCTTTTGCAAAATATAATTATATGCAATCTGTTTAACATATTTAGATAATTCTTGCCCGGTATATAAACCACAAAATATATGGTTAACATTTCCATCATTTTTTAAAATTTATGTCACAAAAATGTTTATTTTGGTAGAGCAGGTATAATAAAAATGATTTCAAATCATTTCTTTTGTGAATGGCCAGTGTTTTCTCTTGCCCTGTGTTCATGGCTATTCTGTGTTGGCTGGATTATGGGAGTAATTCTAAGAAACTGGGTAGGAAGAACACAGATGGCATTGGTATTATAGTACTGGAGAGAAAACTAAAGAAAATCATAAGCCTTCCATATTTTTTAGTAGTGTAGCCTTCTTTCTGAGATTATTGATATATTGGCTTTCAGCCCCGATTGGAATAAAAGCCAGCTTTCGTTTGTTCTTTTTGTCCTTGGGCTCACCTTTAGAAGTGACTGTCCTTGTGAAGAATGTGAATAAAGCAAAGAGCCCTGAGCATGAGGTCAAAAGATCAGGCTCGGGTTCTAGCTCTTATCGTGTGACCTTGAGCCCATCACATAACCTCTCTGAGTCTTGGTGTCCTTTTCAATAAAATGGAAATAATATTGCCTGTCTCAGCACTCAAGAAACAATGGCATATATGAAAATGTTTTCTACACTATACAAATATAAATGTTATTAATGCGTTGGTCATTTGATGATATACAAGCATTTGTCTTTGTCTCATAGAAAAAAATTATTGTGATTAAAATTTGTATAGATTAAAGGAATTTTCAAAAAATGTTACTTTGACATCCTTGGGGAACATAACACTATACCTATTGAACATGATCATCATCAAGGATCCTTCTCTGATAAAACAACCCATTGACGAGCCTCTTCCCACATGGGACTGGGTTGGGTTGAGGATGTTCCTACTGTGACACTTCCACAGGGATGATTTACGGATTGGCTTGCACTACGTCATTCATGTCATTTCCTCCTGAAGCTGGAGGAAGTCATCAAAGAAGTTCACAGACACTGGAGGGCCATGTATTGATCAAGGTTATAAGACTGAGTAGGATTTGATAGTTATTCTTATACGTGTGCTAACATACAACATCCACATCAAACTGTCAACACGGTCGACATGGAAAATGTCAACATAAGAGTGGCCCAAAACCAACCTCAGTCCTCTTGGACTTTTTAATGGTTGATTAACTACCATTAACTACTAATGGTAGATTAACTATAAAGCTTTATAAAAATTAGATAGTTTGTCATATGAGGCTTGGAAGCAGCTCACCAACTATAGAGCCAAGCCTATGAGGGGAAGTGAGCTGGGTTTCGTTGAGGTAAAGGCAGATGTGACACACACAGCCTCTGGCTAGACGGGAGTCATCCCGACATTCCTTGGATGAGTTTGAAAGTGGATTGAGAAATGAAAAAGCAGGCACAGAGCTTCTCCCCCTGCCCTTACTAAAGTAATATGGAGGGAGTAAAGTAATTGTGAGGGACACCCTGTTGCCTGTACATTTTGTGCTTCCCTGCTAACCCTCAGCCTGGTCACGTTAGTGAGCCAACAGCTCCGTGTTAGGATTATGACATAACTTTGCGATACTAATCATTTTGTTATAGTGACAGTAGAAGAATAGCATCTTTCAAAAGGAGAAACTTTTAGGATGTATTGGTTTCTTTTTCTTGAAGACAGTGAAATGCAAGGAGGGGATGATGTGGAAGAGTTAATAAAGCTTTTAAATAGCACCGAAGAGAGAACTTGTTCTAAACCACAGTAAGTTTGTACCAGTCCACAGCAAAAGGAGATTTTTTTTAAAGGGAGAAAGTAGTTACTTTCTCATAAAGCATATTTTCTTCATTTAAAGGACTACCTTTTGTAAGATCATGTTTTTCCTACTTTGAGGTAATGAAAGAAAGGAGAGTTTTATGATAAGATAGAAATAGTACATAGAAATCTATATATTTTTACCCTCTACCTGGAAAAATAACAAAATTGGCAAACCTAATTTAGGCCCCTTGAAATGTTTTTTTGAAATTTTATTTGTGCACAAAATCTAGGAACTATTTAAGAAAGATAAAACAACCCCATCATCTGGCCTTGTTATCGATCAGCTGTATGGTTTTGAGAAATCACTCCACCTGTCTGGACTTATTTATTTGCACAATTTAATCCTGGCATCGTATTCTATGTATCCCATAAGGTCGTTGTAAAGTGAAATGAGGTCATATATATTCCAGAGCTTAGAAAGTCAAGAAGGCTCCATAAAAGTCATAATTTGTATACATCGCCATCATCCAAAAGCTTCAAAATTATTGACACAAGATTTCAACAAAAATCTGCAAACTCTTCTATTCATGAATTTGATGACAGTCATTGGCAAATATCATAAAAGAAAGTATGATTATGATATAAAACCAATTACATATTGAATAGAATAGAAAACATTATTTTGGCCACTAGTATCTTTCTAGCAAATAATGAAATTCATCTTCTAAAATTATTGAGTCCTTTCTGACATTTTCACAAATTATTTGTGTCAAATTGTCAATTATTGTCTCTTTAAGGGCAACTACCAGCAAAGGGACACATGTCCAGAATATATTTGGTCAGAGAGAAAGTACATGCTCCTCTCCAAGTGCTATTACACCTTGGTCTGTTGAATTAATACCTATCACATTTCTTCCCTGGGTCCCTTCCTATTTGAGAAAAGTGATGGTTATAGGAGTCATTGGCTTCATCCACTTTGGTATTTCTTGTTAAGTTCTTGTCCTAGAATCTGTGACTACAAGGTGACTCTTCTTTTTATTAGTAATTACCAGTAGGCGTGACTCTTAGCTGTGTGGAGATATCTATTTTGTTTGAGGTCAGGGACTTGGTATTTAAATCTCAGGGTCATCTGCCTTTTATTCTGTATTATGATTATTGTTCTCTGAAGTAAAAATCCCAGACTGACAGTAGGCACAAAACTAATGGAAGCTGTATGATTAACAAAAGAAATAGGCTGAAAGAGAAATTATGCAAGGGCAGAAATGCAAGGCTGGCTCTCTCCTTGCAGTATGACACGGTATTTAAGACACTCATGACTGTCCCACTCTGTACCCTAAACGGCCTCGTGCACCTGGCAGTACATCTCTGGAACCATGGGAGCGTTTTGCAGTCGGGAGCCTCACATCTTTAAATAGTGATTTATGCTCCTACCATTCCTGAGTACCCAGGCCTTATGAGTCAGCACCCCTTCTCTCAATAGTTACCCCAGGCCGCCTGGCTCCGATGTCCCATTTGGCCATTGATCCTGCAAGAGGGTGCTCTGCTTCTCCGAGCCTTCCTGCCGCAGCAAAGAGGTGCTCCATCCTTCACCAGGTCCCTGCGGGTTCCACACCCATGGACACGTGTAGAAATAATACCTTGTTTATTGAACACTTAATACGGGCCACACACTGTTCTCAGTACTCCACATTCATTATCTCTGTAAACCTCACTACTACCCTATGCAGTAATTACTCGTTTCTTATTTTATGGATGAGAAAACAAGGCATAGAAAGATTAATTCGCCCACACTTAACAATCAAGCGAGGAAGTTGTACAGCCAGACCATCTGATTCCATGCTCCTAAGCAGCAGACCACACTGAGAAAGCACTGGGCCCCACACACCTAGATTTTCCATAGTTGCCTGTTATAGTGAGTATATGTCATGATCTTACATTTATTCATTTCCTTTTCATGTAATTTATGTAAAAACCATTGAACACTGTGTGCCGTGTTCTAAGAATACTCTAGTAAACAAAACAGCCAGGGTCCCTGTTCTTGGGCAGCTTATGTATGAGGGCAGGGAGAGGGGCAGGATGGACCATTTTAAAAAATGAATGACTAGTGGACAGGATCCTTTCAGATGATGGTTAAGCAAAGCACAGTGTTAACGGGTAAAGATGCAGGTTACCTTAGTTGGCTCGTCGGGAGAGGCCTCCCATCGAAGTGCCTTGGAAACTGAGTCTTGAATTGTACAAACATGCCATCAATGAGCAAATTTGGGGCAGATGATTCCAAGAGAGAAGAGACTCTGAAATGAGGAGTTTGGAGTGCTCAGGAAACAGGAAACATAAGATGGCTGGAGTCACGTGAGCAAGGGAACAGCCCCCAGTTAGATCACAGCCGGATAGGGGGAGGTTGTGTGGGGAACCAGGCCATGGGAAGAAGTCTGAATTTGACTCTGAGTGGAGTGCAGTGCCACTGGAGGGCAGGC